CCCCAAAACCCCAAAACCCCAAAACCCCAAAACCCCTACCTTCCAAATCTCAATTGAACCAGCCCCTAAAAATCCAATTTCCACTACAAATCACTATAAAACGCCACTTAGAATCTTGACCCCTTTGAAACCCCTGTATTCGTAGACTTGAGACCACTAGCGAGCTTGTCTCCATAAATCTTCCTATGGATATCTTTCCTCTGCTCTCTCATCTTGTCTCTCAGCCTATCTCCGATCTGCAGCTGGACGACATTGTTCTTCTCACTAAGTCTGGTCATATTGACTGCCACTTTGGTGTACTTCTCATAGAAGAAGTATATTACTGCAGATACTAGTTTTATCAAGACTTGACCAGACACAAACACCTAGGGGTTAGAAATGAACCTTACTGTTAAAATCAGGACGAAGAAGGTCTGATTTGTGTCTGTAATGTAGATGATGGTGTATCCATAAGCTACATTAGCAGCAATCCATACTATGAGGTATAGAGCTCTGAATTGTTCCAAAGCACGCTTTGTCGCCTCTGCATTAGTTTCGTCAGTTTCTCTGTTTCCCCAACTCACATCGTGAAGGTTAGCCATTGAGTAGATGATAATGATGTTGACATAGGTTGGAGAAAGGAATACAAGAATTATTGCACCGAAAAAGTATTTACACAAATTCATCCTGTTCCAATTGAATATCGGTGGTAAAATATAGGATCCAACTAATGTTGCACCCAACATGATAGCTATCCAGACACTCTCTCTGTTTTTCCAGAAGAAATTTAACCCAACTGCAATAGATATAAAAATGAATATACCAAAGAAGACCACAAACAGACTATAAATCCATCCACTTTTAGATATTGGTTTTGTAATAGACATCAGAATGAAAATAAACAGAAGTGAAAGATAAGCTGTTTCTAAAATTCTGGCTCCTCCAAAAGATCCACATTCTTCCTCATCAAAGTATTCACTAACAAAAATACTGAAGGCTCCATACAAAGATCCCACAAGAACAAGAGAAAACACAAAATTAACGAGCATATAAGCATACAGCATTGATAAGAACATTTTTCTGAAGAAAGAGTGACCTGACCTGTTTATCATGTTCAAGTGATCAATAACATACCAAGATGCGAACATACTACCATTGGTCCATCTTCTTCTCTGCTTGATTAGTCCAATTACACTGTCTGGAGGATCTGTGAGTGCAATACATCCTGGAATGTAGCGAAGCACCCAGGCATTAGAGTACTTTCTGAGGATTTCGAGACACATCACCTAGAGATTACAAAACTGATTACTCTATCTTCAGCTAAGTACATGTTGGCTTCTTTTGCAGTATGCTTGTCTTTCTCGAGCCCCTTGAAGAATGACTTCATGGGATCTCCACTAATTGCTTCCCATCTGAATGTACAAAAGGCTCCTGGCAAGACTGAAACAAATCCAAACAATGACTCGAAGGACTTATCAAGATAATGGGAAATTTTATATTCCACATACTGAGCTAAGATCATGCATCTAGCTTCAAACTTTGCAAAGCAAGATCTACTTTTCTTTACATACCATTCGTCATTCTGACATTTAATCTTGTTGCCAACTTTTCTTCTCTTTTTACCTTCAATTTTCTTTTCTAATTTAGCAACTTGCTTCTCATCAGTTATTCTAAAATATCCTGAGCCAAGTTCAACATCTGAGGGTTCAAATACTTCGATTTCTCCTGAGGCACCACCAACATTATCATAAGTGTCCATATACTTGCAAATGAAACTGATAGACTTCTTGAGAGGAATGGTACCTGCATCGATCATCTGGCAGTACACTGGATTAGTTGTGGCGCAGAAACCCTTGAAGAACCACAAGTGTGACTCAATCTTTCCAGAGTTCTCATGCTTAATACAGAAGAAGAACTTGATTGGATTAGCTCTGAAGAACCTCTCATTACCGTTCTTATCTTTGCCATTCTCTATTAGCCAGTGGTAAGGGCTCTCAGCAGATGGACCGTTATGGAGATTAACGAGATAAGGTAACTTTTGCTCGTCTATCTCTTTGTCAGGGTGTATAGCCTGGTAGTCTTTCTCCTCAAACATCTCCTTCAGTTTATCCTGGTCGAGCTTGGTTCCGAAAATATGTCCCACGTTATGGGAAGCATAAGAGTACTCTTTTAATGAGTATCCATTTCCTTTCTGTCTGAGCTATCGAAAAATGTCAGAATTTTTGCAGAGGAATGTCTCTGTTAGAGAGTAAATTAATACATCTAAACTATCACCTCAATATTTCTCAGGCTGAGGGTATTTTAAGTCTGAGTCCATTCAATAGGCATACTAATAGCAAGGACTTACCTCATTCTCACTAGCAATCTTAGTTTTATGCTTCTCAAAAGTCTTTGGGCTATGAGTCTTGTCTCTATAAAATATATCATCAGAAACAGATTTAGGCAATAACCGAATTGCTATGGATTTAACAGAAAATTCTCCAAAGTTTTTGAACATGTAAGAGATTTTATGGGTTTATAAACATAGTCTTTTGAAAGCTACATAGCAAGGGTATCTGAGTTATAATTTAATAATCCCCAATAATCGAAAGAATGGCCACTCCCAAATTTCACCAACATAAAACTCCAAAGTGAGTTGCTAATTTTGGCTAAGATATAACTGAATGCCAAATTGGTGAAATCAAGATTCAGAATTTTGTGAGAATGGTATCAATAGTTGAAAACCTATTAGGCCTTACTTATAATTTGAAACAGCATTATGGCACATCTCAACGTCAAATAGCCTGTATTCAATCATTTTGTCAATAAAATCTTTATTTTAGCTTGGAAATTCCGTCTGCCACTAAAAATTAGTTAGATAATCTGAGGAATAAAACTTGCTCATCTTTGTTTAATGGTAAGTTTTAATAGTTCTGAAAAGTTTTATATCTTCAGCTAATAAGTTCCTTTCACCATCAAATATTGAAAGGAGATTTTTGAATCTTTCTCTTGAAAGATACTCTTGTGAGATCAAAAATCTGGACTAGTCTTACCCAAAATGATTGCGAAATTACTATATTTTATCAGACGATCGCTTACTCTGCAGCATATTCCTGTGGATCTTCTTCCTCTAGCTCAAATATGGATCTGACACAACCTCCTATAGACTGTAAGATCTGCCCCCAGGTCTCTTGGTACATTGTAATACAATAGTTCATCTTAGGGCCTTGCTTGGCTGGCTTTCCATTATCAAACTGATCGACCCCCTTGTTCAAGTTCTTCAGCTCCATTATGTAGGAATCATCAGGGAGTTTCTCATCTGGTTGTGTCTTATCATGGTGAAAAACACGTAACTCACTGTGGCTATTACCACATGAGTCTACTTTCTCAATAATACTACATGGTGCATACTGGAGTTCAAAGTTTGAATCAGGGAAAGTCTTGGATTTATAAGAAAAATTCTCTTTACTAATATCATCATCTGTCAAAAGAATAGCGTTGTCTTTTATGACTTCCTAAACAAACCAGGTTAATTACATGTTTCTTCACATAGGAGGGTAACCAGTAGTCAAAGGACAGGAATGAAAGATCCAAGAGGTTGATCCTTGATGGGCTGAATAAACAAATTGGGAGATGACTGATAGATTTGTAGCATGAAAGTAAGAAAAATATAGTAGAAAGTGAAGATTTGAAGGGAGAGGGTAGAAAGTAGAGAAAGAAGGGCTCTGAGAGGATTTTAAACCAATTTAGAGCGTTCTAGAGGAGTTATTAGTAGGGGGTGTTATTTTCTTTGAAGAGAAGGGTTGAATTTTGATGTTTGAAATAAACAAATTGAAGAAAAATAAGCAATTGAGATTTGGTGCTTTGGTGATTTGGTGAAAGAGTTTATGAAAGGGAGAATTTAGCTATGGTAAAGGATACAGTTATATAGATGAGGTAAAGATTAATAAATAAAAAGACTCTTAAAAATGACAATGTACAATCAACGGAAAACAGTTACAATTTACAGCATGAGTGTACTTCTCAAATTTTCATAAATAAAACTATAAACTGCAGAACAAGAGGATAAAATATCTAAGAAACATCTGCATACCTTATAAGTCCAACGCTCAGACATAAAAATCCAGCCACACCACCATCTACCTCACCAACCCCCCAAAACCCCAAAACCCCCAACCTAACCCACCCCCAAAACCCCTCAAAACCCCTCATCTCCCCTCTCCCAGCCCTCTCCACCCCCATTCCTCCCTCAAAATCCCCTCTCTCCTCCCCTTTTCCTTCTCTCCCCTCCAAAATCCACACCAGCCCCACCTCTTAGCTAAATCTACCCCTCAAAATAGCCTAGCTTCCTTACCTCTTCTGTCATATTCTTGTGTCTCTTGCTTCTTCTTGTCTTCAAGAAGTTCTCTCTGTACATTTTAATTTGATCCATCTTCCTGTTAGAATAAATTTTTATAAAACTTTCACCATGTACTCTTTATAACGGGGTTTTGGGGTTTTGGGGTTTTGGGGTTTTGGGG